AGAAATCACCCCCCAGGGGGGATGGCCACGCCACAATCCCTTCTCCTCCATTCTCCTCTTGGGATCTTGGGCATGCACGCACACGCGCCCAGCGTGAATTTTAAGCCACCGGGTCTGGGACTCGAACCGCAGTCGACTACATGGGAGTCCAGCGACATAGCCATTATGCTAACTGCTGGTCCCGGTCCATGGTAATGTTTTAGGTCCAATTAAAAAGGTTGATCAGCAGGAGGTGTGGTAGTTAAGGCACTGGATTCCCACGTGGCCGAATGCGTGGTTCAAGTTCTAGACTTAGCAGCTTGAAAATCACTCCGGATGTGAATGCATGGTTCAAGTTCTAGACTTAGCAGCTTGAAAATCACTCCGGATGTGTACAGGCATGAGTGTGCCTAAAATCCCCAGAGGAGAACAGAGAAGGGATTGCTGTGTGGGTATCCCCCCAGGGGGTGATTTCTCACTTTCTCTCTCTCTGGTGACTGCATGTACCCTTATAGCAAGACTGAAAAAGGAACTGAAGTGCAGGCATGTGGTAGGGAAGATACTGTTTCATGAAAATTTGTGTTAATGGGCACATGTGTGTGTTGGGCTCTGACTTATAGTGTGTTTCTTATGGTTGAGTTGCAGTCAAAATGTCTGAAAGCCTTCCCCGTAGCCATGGCTCCAGTAGGAATCACCTGTTGAGCCAGAATGGCACTGGGTGGGTGGGGGGGAGGGAAGGGTAGGTAGCTGTATAGGATCTTCCCCGGGGAGTTCACCTTTTGGGCCTATGCAGTTTGGCTCCACAAACCTTCACTTGGTATCTGCTACGTGCTGGACCTAGGCACTGCGCCCTGTGCCTCTCTGGCTGCATTTCCTCCTACCCTCCTCTATTCTCATGCCACTCCGGCCGGATCCTCCACCAGGCGTCCTTCTGGCTCAGGACCTTTGCACTTGCTCTTCTGTTAGAAACATCCTGCCCTCAGATAGCCACGTGGTGTGCCCCCACCTTCTATTAGATCTTGGACCAAATGTCATCTCTGCAGTCCCTAATACATGCCCCCCTCACCCTCACTTTTCTGCTTTATCGTTTTCCACTACATTTTCAATACCTAATGTCCGCACATCTCAAAACTTGTGAGACTAGGGAACCAGCAGTTAGCGTAATGGTTATGTCGCTGGACTCCCACGTAGTCGACCACGGTTCGCGTCCTGGACCCAGTGGCTTAAAACTCACACCGGGCGCGTGTGCGTGCGTGCCCAAGATCCTGAGAGGAGAATGGAGGAGAAGGGATTGCGGCGTGGCCATCCCCCCTGGGGGGTGATTTCTTGCTTTCTGTCTCTATGTCTCTCTCTGTCTGTCTGGAAAACGCATGCGCCCTATAGCAGAAACCTCTCCAAAAAACCCCTCAAAAGACAAACAAACAAACAAACAAAAAAACTTGTGAGACTAAGCATCATTAGGGCTGGGGGGTTCTGGTCTGCCCTATCTGCTACTTTCCCTAATCCTGAGAACACTGTGGCTGGCAGTGGCAGTGGTGGTCCTAAATATTTGACTGAACAGACACAAAGGTGAGTGAGGTAGTCCTTGTTCTCAAGGAATTTGCCACCAAATGGCCACTTCCCCTTCCTGAATTTCACTTCCTTTCTTTCTAGGCCGAAGGGGTTGGAGTAGGGTCTGAAGACTGTGTCATGCTCTGTGAGTCAATGACGCTGGGTTGACAACGCTGTGTGTGTGCACATCACCCTACCCTTACATCCATTCTTTCACGTGATCTTCACAATTTCTGTCTCTATGTCTCTCTCTGTCTGTCTGGAAAACGCATGCGCCCGCAGAAACCTCTCCAAAAAACCCCTCAAAAGACAAACAAACAAACAAACAAAAAAACTTGTGAGACTAAGCATCATTAGGGCTGGGGGGTTCTGGTCTGCCCTATCTGCTACTTTCCCTAATCCTGAGAACACTGTGGCTGGCAGTGGCAGTGGTGGTCCTAAATATTTGACTGAACAGACACAAAGGTGAGTGAGGTAGTCCTTGTTCTCAAGGAATTTGCCACCAAATGGCCACTTCCCCTTCCTGAATTTCACTTCCTTTCTTTCTAGGCCGAAGGGGTTGGAGTAGGGTCTGAAGACTGTGTCATGCTCTGTGAGTCAATGACGCTGGGTTGACAACGCTGTGTGTGTGCACATCACCCTACCCTTACATCCATTCTTTCACGTGATCTTCACAATGACCCTATGACAGGAGAGGGGAGGAGGAAATTGCTTCCTCCTTAGAGATGAGGTAAGGAAGCTGAGGGAGATCAGGTGACTTACCCAAGATTCCATAACTGAACAGTGTATGGCTGAGACCAGGACCCAAGTCAGACCTTAGGTCCAGGGCTCCTTCCTCACCACCACTTGATGCATAGGAGCCTGCCTATCACAAATGCTGTTGCCGACCAATTCTTAGGAATCTTCCAGAGATCCTGTACCTGCCCCTCCAACCACGAGGGATAGGGTCCAGGTCGCCCCCTTGGAGGACAGTGGAAGTCTGGTTCCCCTCTCCATACCATGCAGTCCATGAGGATGAACTTGAGATTGTCTTCATTAAACGCTTGGTTTCCATTCCGGTCGTAGGCGGCCCAGATGTTACTGGCGATGGCTGCAGTAACCCGGGCGTCGGTGTCCCCGTAACCCGAGTAGGCCAGCAGGGATCCCTCGTTATTCAGCAGCCTGGGGAGAGGTGGGGAGGGAAATCGATGTGGTCAGGGCGGGTAGTAAAACGCTTGGGTTCCCATCTCAGCTCCTGCCGCTGGCGCTTTAAGGAAGCAAGGGTCTGGGCTTAGAGAGTCGTGAAACATGCCTCCAGCTCGCCGGCTTCCCTCTTTGAGAAGGGCCTTCCAGGCCAGTTCCCCCAGCTGCTGCCCCCTCTTCCCTTCCGGGCGATCCTGTCCCACCCCTCCCGCAGAGAGTCGCGCACCGTCCCACCGCGGAGCTCGCCACTCAGGTCCCCCACAGGCACTCACAGGGTGCTCTGGACGCCTCCGGTGTTGGCTTGGCTTAGCACCTGGGTCAAAGCCTTGGGACGCAGCATGGCTGCAGCTTCTGGCCCTGGGATTTTGCACCCAGAGCCTCCGAGTTGCCTCGGCGGGCCTCCGCTTGCCGCTTCCCGTAGCTCAGCTGCCTTTCTGGAACACGCTGGGAGTTGTAGTTCGCTGGCGTGGCTACCGTGGTGCCGCCTCAACCCCGCCCCGCCGCGGAGGGCCCTGGGAATTGTAGTTCCTGTGGCCTGGCGAGGCACTCTGGGAACCGTAGTTCGCGGTTGCAGTCAGACCACGCGGTTATGGGGGAAAAGAGCGGGAGTAAAGGGACAGTGGCAGTGTTGGCAGGACATTTAACCCCTTCGGGGAGACAGAAGACATTACGCCCGCCTGGCAACGCACGACCCATAATTTTTCAACACTATTTGTCAGGCACGCCTCTGGTTACTTTTTCAAAGCAGTTTTCTACGTTATGCACAATTCTTCCAGATAAGGCGAGAGGTAACCACGGCTCAGAAAGGCCACGCGGGCAAAACCCAGGTCTCTGGAGACGCACTCAGCAGACCATCCAGGCCACCACCTTCCGGGGAACGGGGTCAGTCCTAGCGATAGGATCGTAAACGGACGTCCAGCGGTCGGAAAATTCAGACTCCGAGTCCGGAGAGGCCTCAGGCCTGGAAGGGACTTGGGCCGCTCAAGAAAGACCAAGTTATCACAGGGAACAGAGATAAAGCGGCGACACAGAAAGTCCTTTGTCCCGGAGCGGGAGTTCCCCGCGGAGGGGGCGGAGGCGGCTTCGGGGCCGGAGGCGACAGCGGTGCGGCAGGAGCTGCA